ATAGAATTTGCAGCAGAAGCTTCTTACCGAGCACAAAGGAGACCGGGATGAGATTTGCGTAGTTGTTGCAGTAAATCGACACCTTTTCAAAGCTGCGTTTCTGATCTTCATTGAGTAAGAACCTGTGAAAGGGAACAAAATCATATCATGGTGGACTGTGAAATCTACAATCTTATTGGCACATGTACCGACTCCCTACATCCCCATTCAACAACCCAACATGAACCTCTACCGACTCCCTACATCCCCATTCAACAACCCAACATGAACCTGTACCGACTCCCTACACCCCCATTCAACACCCCAACATGAACCTGTACCGACTCCCTACATCCCCATTCAACAACCCAACATGAACCTGTACCGACTCCCTACATCCCCATTCAACAACCCAACATGAACCTGTACCGACTCCCTACATCCCCATTCAGCAACCCAACATGAACCTGTACCAACTCCCTACATCCCCATTCAACAACCCAACCAGTGGCGTAACAATCACCATAGCGACCCAGGCGGCCGCTATGGGGCCCGAGGCACGGCCAGGACATCTCCCTGATGCCATGCGGACCGCCTGGGTTGCTATGGCATCTTGCTCGGACAGCCAGGCTGCTGGCTGTCACTGGCGGCTGTGAGGAGGAACGCTCCGTTCCTTCTCACAGCCGCTGCTGAGTTGGTGACAACCAGCAGCTTCGCAGGAGGTGGCTGGGCCCGTCATCGGCAGTGATCGAGGAGGCGGGGTCCGGCGATCGAGGGGGGCGGAACCCGGCAATCGAGGAGTCGATCGTGGAGGAGAAGGAGGCGGACAGAGGATCAGGGCTGACAGGTAAGAGGGCTTGACCGCCCGCCTGAGACCCTGCAGAGCCTACCATAGAGAGTATATGGTGGGCTCTGCAGGGTCACCCTTAGGTGGGCTGTTTGGGTTATCAGGTGGGCGTAACTAGAAATCACAGGGCCCCATACAAAATTTTGCTATGGGGCCCTGTGATTTCTAGTTACGCCCCTGAACCCAACATTAACTAACCTGTACCGACTCCCTACATCCCCATTCAACAACCCAACATGAACCTGTAGCGACTCCCTACATCCCCATTCAACATGAACCTGTACCGACTCCCTACATCCCCATTCAACAGCCCAACATGAACCTGTACCGACTCCCTACATCCCCATTCAACAACCCAACATGAACCTGTAGCGACTCCCTACATCCCCGTTCAACAACCCAACATGAACCTGTACCAAATCCGTACATCCCCATTCAACAACCCAACATGAACCTGTAGCGACTCCCTACACACCCATTCAACAACCCAACATAAACCTGTAGCGACTCCCTACATCCCCATTCAACAACCCAACAACCTTGTACCAACTGCCCCTTACAAAAAGGACTGAACCCAACGTACCTGTAAGTAATACTGAGCACCAGATACATGAAAAAGAACACCAGGAACTCCTTGTACAATAGCTTGTAAATGCTGCCCCTCCATAGTAGTAGGAGCTTATAGAACCCGCCAAACCGTGCATTTGCCACCCGAGCTGTATACGTGACCGTCATGACACAGCTACGCAGCACTACGCCGGAACCTAGAAAGAGAAAAATGTAAAACCATTAAAGTGGAACTCTGGACAAAATTTAAAAAAATGACACACAAGATGTGATCTGTCACTATTATTAACACAGCAGTCATTGTTTTCCCTTCTTCCTTCTCCAACATAAAATGATTAGCTGGTGATCCAGGCAGTAGGTCTGTTATTCCTCAACTTCCTTTAATTAAGACACTCAGGGGCCGGGTTACTGTAAAAGATGTTACAGGGGTAATAAGACACTCAGGAGCCGGGTTACTCTAATAAGATGTTACAGGGGTAATAAGACACTCAGGAGCCGGGTTACTGTAATAAGATGTTACAGGGGTAATAAGACATTCAAGAGCCGGGTTACTGTAATATGTTACAGGGGTAATAAGACACTCAGGAGCCGGGTTACTGTGTTTAATAATTGCATTTCTGATTCTATTGGTTTTTCTGTCTCTGGTGAATAAGTAACATTTCGGGGGCCTGGTATTGACCTCCATTGAATTGCTCAGGTCAGTTAGCAGAAGTCTGTGAGGAATGTTAGGTAATACGTTCCTGTCTTCAATGTACAAATAGTCCAGACAAACAATTTTATTATGGTCTCTCTGGTCTATATACCGTCTGCTTCTGGAGGTGTTGATTCAGTCTGGAGAACAATAGCGGACTCGGGAAAATTCGTGACATTTTAGGTTGGTCCATTCAGTCCAAGGACAGGTTAAGTGCATATAAAACAAACGTGAGCAGCACAGATGCAGACATACACGTTCCCACAGATCACCACGGGCCCATCCACCAAGGGCTGGGAGATGACTGCGTTGTCCCATAGAGGCCACATTCCCCCCTTTCATGTTTGTGGTTCTGGGGGAGATAACGCAGGCTGATTATTTATGAAAGGGACCTGGGATATCTTTGTGACAGTGATAAATGAGACCAGAGAAGCAGAGTCTTATCTGTGAGGTGACGCATGCAAAAAATAAGAAAATCGCAGACCACCACTACTCCAGCTTTTCATCATTCCCTAGACAAAGCTGTATTTCCCACAATGACACGTGTGGGCCGGTGCCCATCGTTAGTCATGATTTAAAAATACTGCGTGATCGTGCAAGACTTTTTAATAATAATGGTCTCGGTATCTTGATAAAAGGTTTTACAGCCATTAAAAAACTATGATATAGGTTGTAACGCAGATCAGAAATATTAGATGCGTTTGGAAATTAACAACCTCTAAGAACCAATGTTCAAAAGGCCTCATGTTAAATCGGTCAGCTGATCTACATAATTTACCCATGCGGTCCTTCACACAGGGGGGTCTGGAGATCAGGCTCCTCTCGGCAGGAAGCACAGGATATTTTGTATCCTAAACCAGGACAAAGTTTAGACCCTTTGTCCCCGACCATTTGGTCTCAGGCAGCAGAATGCCAGGACTCCAGGTGCAATTAAAAGCCTTGTGCTCAGAGTAGCCAGGGGTTCTTTTTACTTCAGTGTTACACATGAGATACTCATGGCTGGAGGGTCTCATTGGAAAGAGACGAGAAGATGAGGACTGCTAGGACATCTAGCTCTGAATGTGTGTTCCCTGATTAGGGACTACTGGGACTTGTAGTGCCTTACTAGCTGGAAACTGATGTCCTGCTCGAACACTGAAGAGGCTCCAGAGACCAGCTACACAGACCAGCTCTACAGAGAGCCTCCTGCCTTACCATCCCATGTGGATCCCTCTTCTGTGGAATGACCTGATGCCATAAGTGTGAGTTGTGACCCTCTTTCGTTGTACCGGGTTACAGTTACCCCTTTGCTGTGCCTGGATTGTTGCCATGTGTCCTTGGACTCCCAACTCTGCTGTTCCCTGCTGTGCTTGGATTGCTGCCCTGTGTCCCTGGACTCCAATGGTGATGTGCCCTGCTGCTGTTATCCCTTTGCTGTGCCCGGACTGCTGCCCTGTGTGTCCCTGGACTCCGCCTGGATTGCTGCCCTGTGCCCCTGGACTTTACCCGTTGCTATTTTGCCTGGATTGCTCCTACACTTGCTGTATCCTAATGTTGAGAACCCCTAATAAAGAACCCCCTGGTCAAGAGTCCAAAAAAAACACTCTTGGTCTCTGTGTGTGTTCTAGGGTTGCCACCTTTTCTTCAAGTGAAACCCGAACACTCTAGCGACGCACGGCCATTTTTTGGGGAGAATGAGTGGTGGCTTATTCATATGTAAATATCACAGTTGAGACTATTTTCGCAGCCAGTAGCCCCTATCTTAATTTTGGTTGCCCCTGTCTGCCTGACATCTTGTGTCCGGGTTTCTGCTGCCATAAAACCCGAACACAGCATTCAAAACCCGGACTGTCCGGGTGAATCCTGTACAGGTGGCAACCCTAGTGTGTTCTGTGTCTCCCACATCCCCCATCACATACATACACACATATAGTGTGTGTATGTATTATGCAACACTTTACAATACCCTTTTAAAGACAAAAACCTTGCCTTTTAAAAGACAATAACTCTTGCCTACTTTTGATATATATCTAGATATATCTATAGATAATCTATATATGTGTATATATAGCTAGATATATCTATAGATCTATATCTCTTATTTAAAAACTTATAATTTGAGCATAAAACCCAACCCCGAGATACTCTTTTCATGTCCCCCGTCCACCCCATAGGTCTAAATTCTCACCCTCATTCCGAAGCTGTCCCATACAGTACTCTATTTTCACCACAAGGCGTCCTCAATCTTCCAGGTTAAATGACACCTAATGTCACTCAGTCCAAAAGACAGAGCACATAGGGCAAGTGCAGGGCGCCAAGGACTCACACCCCAACAGTGTCACCACCACGGTGCCAGAATAACTGCATAATGGTCCAAAGAGCACCACAGAAGTCATCATGTCAGCACCACTCTCTTTAACTTTGAGGATCATCCACCCCCAGGTCAAGACCAAGCGGAAAGAGGACCCGACATGTCATGTGACAGGCCAGATGACTATGGAAAAAG